TGCGCCTTGAATAGTTAATCAACAGGGCTCGCACTAGCGAAAAGTAGTCAGCGTTAAGCACACACAGTCCCTCTGAAGCGCTTCGGCAGAAAGTCGTCCGCACTCTAAGGGTTAGTGTCCGACGCGTGTTTCCTTAACACGTTGAGTGCTACGTCAGTCCCTAGGGACTGACAGTGAACTTTCCGTTCAGGCGGCGTCAGTCCCTAGGGACTGACAGTAGACTTTTCGTTTGGACGGTGTGGATTCTAGGGACTGACAGCGAATTTTTCGTTTGATCATCATCGGTGCGTAAGACTGGCATTGTCATGGGTTAAATTATCAATGACAATTAATATATTGTAAAAATTTAATTCCCTCTGCTAAAGTAAATCTTTACACTTCCGTGGCTTTTTTCGACTGATCGTTTCTTGGTGATCGCCTTTTTGCCTCTCTGGCATTCCCCACCTCGTTATCTTCTGTTTATAATTTGTATATTTGTGCATTGGCTGTACCATTCTCACAGTCCAAACGACAAAGTGAAACAAAGTAATCTTCTGCTTATACCCTTCAGTATACTTGAGCGCTCGGCATCAAGTGCTCACTAGCTGCCGCCTGAGCGGAAAATATAGCAAAATCGGCGCCGCACTCAACGAGTTAAAAGTCCAAATTTCACCAATTTTTAATTTTCAAATTCCATTTTCAAGATCCTGCAAAATTTATTACGAATCCTTATTGCAGATGACTGTGTTCAGAGTATCGAGGACACAAAGAAAATGTTCCAGGTTGTAAGGTAGCATCTCGGATAGTTCTATAAGTGTCCGACGTGTTTCATTAAAGAACTAAATTTCGCAAATTCTTAATTTTCAAATTCCATTTTCAAGATCCTGCAAAATTTATTACGGATCCTTATTGCAGATGACTGTGTTCAGAGTATCGAGGACACAAAGAAGATTTTCCAGGTCCGGGATAGATCTATTAGTGTCCGACGTGTGTTTCATTAAAGGACTGCTAACTGATATCAATTAGAGTAACTGCTTCGATGATGATTAACGTGTGACGTTAATTTAGGAGTGAGATTAATATATTCGTCTTGATCACTGTTTCCGTAAATGGTTCAGAATATTAGAATAATTAGTATGAATAATTAAAGGATTATTTCCTGACAGTTGTTAGACATTACAGTAGAACTCCGATTATCCCTAGGATTGAATCGGATAATTCGGTATGTTGGATAAATGCACTGTACTTACATGTAAGATGACGCGAATAAAGAATATCATTCGAAATACAAGCATAGATAACGTCGTAATGCAATTTACTAATGAAAATAAAAGGAAATGCGTAGGTAAATTTAGCTTATCTCAGGATCGAGATCAAGTGCTGGAATTGTGCAATGAAATGCACTCTTTTAAATCTAAACTGTGATTGATTAACGGAAGAATGGTAGTAGAGGAAATTTCCTTTCGTTCATTAACTTGTTGCTATCGATTGGGTGGCAAAGTAAAGTTAATATTATTACCATGAACAAAAGTAACTAGAAATTAACTCAGCTTTGTTGCATCACAGCATAATTGATTCAACAATTTTACTTTAAAATCCACTTATCTGCGTTAATTGTGTAATTATTGAGACATCTTTCCATTACTACTGCAGCACATTTTTAAATAATACTGATATGTAATTATCAGTCATAGTACACTACTTACACAGTGTATAGTTCTCAACGCTATATTACACAGATATATACACTAAACACAATTAAATCTCACGTTGAAATATATGCACCAAAGAAATAGCGATTTATTTAATTTTAAATAAGATTAAATACTTTTTAGAGATCAACCTTAATCTTATGGCTTCAGATTAATTACATGTACGTTCAAACTAACCTCAAACATGTCAATTTCGAAACAATAAGTAAACACAGCTGAATAATCCTTTCAAAGAAACTCCATGGGCAAACACTGAATTAATCACAGGGATAATAACTCGCTGAAACTGTTTTGGATACTCGTTTAATGAAAGAATGTGCAAGAAATGGCCAGATCTCATCAACCGAAAGATGGCGACACGGTATATGAAAAAGCACCGCGGAGTTTAATGCTGTCATAGATGAATGGCGACCCTGTTCGTGTGTTACGAGAGTCATTAGTGTGAAATTCAGAGCATGTGAAATTGATAATGTCGTCGAAGTAAGGAATATAGTGGAGCAAAATGAAACAGCAATATTATGATAATTATACTCATCTCAACAAACTGTTCTGTTTCGAACTCGAGCTCTGAATTGTAGAACTTGTATTAAACATAAGACTATGCATTAAATCTGAGACCATACAGAAGACGTGATATTCAAATCATATGCCATTATAAGGTGTTGTTATTACAATTATTGCATTATATTGTCATAGTACTGCCAATTTTAATTAAAATAAAATACCGTATCGTACGTGAGGGAATAAAAGTTAGGTTAGAATTACATCAATGAAGAAAAAATGATTATACTGAGAAAGACATTGGGGTAAATATTTTAATGACAAAATTATATAGAAAAAAGTGACTTTCGTTATTTAATGAATATTAAATAATGTAAATTCATTCTCATTTTTAACTAAATATAAGGTTCGTTATTTCTTGTTTTTACTTTTATAATTCATTGTGTTATTATACAGTATAACATGTTTAATTGAAAATGCAACGGTACCTCGCAAATTGTTGCAAATATAAGGAACTGTTTTAGTAAAATTAATTTAACTTTGCTAAATTAAAATGTAAAAAATTTTTTTAATCAATTTAGTCTCTCTCAGCAATTTATAATGTGGCACTGCGTGTATTAAATGTTAAACCCTATACGTTAAAAAATAATTAAATTGTTAAGTTAAAAATAAATAGATATATAACAGTTACATGTTTCCAGAAATTTAAAAAACGAGTCTGAAGTCATTAATTTTGACTGCTTTGATGGTCTAGTATTATATTGTAGAATAAAATACTGCATAGGAATCGAAAACTGAAACATACATAGTTTAGACAATCTTTGTACCAACCAGATGATGACACGACATATGTCATTTTTTAATACCGAATGATAACATAAATTTCCTTTCAGGATACATCTGGTGACTATTGGCTATTTTATAGATACTGAATGACGCACCGGGTGCGTCATCAGCCTGCAATAGGTTAAGGCTTTAGACTTCAAAGCTGAGATTCGATAGCCACAAGAAAGTTACAAGAAAATTTCCCGAAGAACATGTTACAACTCACTTCACTTTTATCATCTATTGATACCATAATTCTTCTCATATCACATCCAGATTGCTCAAGACTTCGAGCTAATACTATCCAATATCACATTTAACTACTGCATTCGCTTTTAAAATTTGTCGTTTCATATTCAATAGTTTAAAAATTACTAATATAAAAATATTAATATTAAATCCACCATGTGCTAAAAAATCATTTTAAAATTTTTGATTAAATATATCCAACGCTATTGTTTCTGACACTTGACTTTATTATCTATTAAATTTTATTATATTTATTTGACTTTATTATTTTGCTTATTAAATATCGTTGAAATTTCTTTGATAAAATGAAATTACAAAAGATTAGTATTATGAATTGGATAAATAACTGAATAAATATGAATAATTATCGTGAATTATTATATATTTCTTTCTTTATTTCAGAAATTATTATCGATGACAGAAATTTAATTTTAACAAGCATAAATAATCGAAGTCTTTCTTCATTATCAATAATAAGAAAAAAGAAAAAGTTTGATCTTGAAAAAAGACAGTGAAAAACAATTTTGTAGTAAAATTTTTAACAAATCTTTACTGATCCAAAGATATAGAACACAGCTATGATGTTGTCACATATAATTCTTTTACACATCCCAAATATAATCAATTTTCAAATATCTTCTATTACTCTATTTCTTCTCAAGAAATGGTTTAACAAAAGACATTAAGAAATTGATTATACGGATGTTTCATATGTGCCCTGTATATTATTTAGATATGGAAAAATTGATTGCACGTATGACTCATATGCGGCCTGCTTTTAATGACCAGTCATTTAATAACCAGTCATTGTACCACCAGTCACGCTAGGTTCGTAGTTAACACTTTGCACTCGACGATTTTTCGGCTAGAGAAGAGTAGAAATTCAAAGATTTTCTACTAAAAAACTGACGATACTTTTTTGAGTAGTAGATAAAGAGTTATATAACAACAGAATTGTAGAATTATTTGATTTCGATACCTCACACACTGTTACATTACATTAAATTTGATATACAGGTAACCCTCCTATAACACGGCATCCTATAACACGGTTTCGCTATAACACGGTTCATAAATTATGAGAACCCTCCTACAACACGGCATTCTATAATACGGTTCATAAATTATGGGAACTCTCCTACAACACGGCATCCTATAATACGGTTTCACTATAACACGATTCATAAATTGTGGGAACTCTCCTACAACACGGTTTCGCTCTAACATGATAAGAAAATTGCAAATACTTTTCTACAATACTGTACTTCTACACGAGCAGTGACGACAGAGAGATTTATTAAATTAAAGTTGCATTAAATTAAAATAATATTTTTGTTTTTTTGTTTTGTTTTGTGTTGTACATACATTTATATTTTTAATAAAAATTAATTTGTTTACGTAGGATTAAAAAGAAATTTGTTTTTAGTAAGTTTTCGGAACGTAACCCTCCTTTTTGTACTGGCTCTGGGTCTCATACAACACGGTTTCACACAACACGGAATTTTCTAGGAACCTATCTACCGTGTTATAGGAGGGTTACCTGTATTAATTAATATCGGTCTTCCAAATTTTATGAAATGGTGACTGAAGCTCACCTCTCGAGTGCAAAGGGTTAATTATTAAATCTATATTTATAGTTAATTCGCGAATAAGTATATTCTCAGGAGTGCCAACAACACTCGTAGAAACTCCAAACACTCTCGTTACATTCAATGCACCATAAACGTTACAAACCTCATGAGCATGAAGACACCAGTCGTCTCTAGTTTCCTGGAAACAGCCTTCCAGCTGGCCATAACCGTAAACTTCTGCTTCGCCGTGAGCGGAAGCCTTGGGTCCGTGGTGGGTTGATTGGGTGTCGCCAATTTGCCAATTTCGCAGCCCATGTCGAGTCGATCTGTTTCCTTTCTTCCGGGAAATAAAGAAGCACCAACACACCAACTCTTGCCGTCTAACAGCCCCGAGCAATTGCCACGTTCCACTGCCAATCTACTCGCAGGTATCCTCACTGCTGTATCAAGCTTCGTTAATCTTCGACCCGCGTCGACGATGAATCGACACCCTGTGGAAATGAATCCGGCCAAAAAAACGGACGAGCGGCTTTAATCAAGCCGTGACCAAGCAGCTGCTTCCCAGGCTGGATCACCTAGTTCGATCAAATCACTCGCGTCGAAGCTTTCCACGGAATTCGTGTTCAAAGGATTCGAGGTGGTCGCGAATGGGATTTTTCGATCGTCGTGTTAATCACTCAGTCGTGTGCACGGTTACCACTTTGAGAATAGTTCCGGGTCTAACAAACCGTTCGATCACTGCGGACCCATCCAAGGCTGCCTGGGTCGTCGAAGCTGTCACGTTTAGGCGGCAAGTTCAAATCCATTTATCCCCGGGTCGCCGTTTCTCGATAATTCTTCGTTTAAGGTCTAGCCAGAACCCTGGATTCCGTTCGTCCCGTAATCCGTGTCGAAATTTAAGGGAATGTCTTCCTCCACTCGGCTCTATCTAGCCCGGCTCACCGGATGAATGGAAGCAACAACGAGCCTCGATTGATTTTAGGGATTTATGGAGTTCTCAGTTGACGTGTCCTTTGCTCGCACTTTCGTCCACGTCGGAAAAGAAGCTTCGCTGAAGATTTCCACTGGAACGATCGTAAAAGAATGTTGGTTAGAGTAATTCCTGGGTCGACGAGACGGTGTCGGGGAGAAAATGGTGGGCAGCGCTGAGAATTGCGTGAGCTAGGAGGATTATCCGAGGATTTTGGTTCGTTGGTTGGATAAAGGGGAGAGGAAGGAAGCAGTTGAGGGGTGTTTTCGTGAGGAACTATAAACCTTGTTTGACAGTGCTTTCCTGCTCTCCCCTTCAATCACTCGTTTGTGCATGTTGTGAATCCGTATTGTCCGTTAATGAAACCTCTATTCGAAGGATTACTTGGACAGAAATTCTGTTTACTGATGCATTTTGATAACTATTCCGTGAAATGTTACCTGTCTTCGTTAATAACAAAAATCGATATTATTTATGATATTATCAATGTTTTTGGAAGTGCAATACGAATTTTAAATAGGTTTATTCAATTATAGAATGACGAATTTTCCTATCATTTTTAATAATTCGAGAAGATATCCCCGGTCAAAAATACACGTTTGTTATGCTAAAGATATTACATCATACAATACAAATATTTCAAAAATATTTTTAGAAAAGTTCAGTTGATTAGGAATTGGCCTATAGAAGTAACAATGCTTATATGTCTTTTTCCAGATAATATTGGGAGAAATAATTTTTATAAATTAATTAATAGGTACACAAAGTAAAATGTGCAACGTATACCATTTCATATTTTTATATGTTATGTTATATATTTTATACGTCACATACAATTTCATATTTTTCTTATCAATTAATTAATTGGAATCTTTTTCTTTCTCATTGATCTTTAATAAATTTCAGATATTTAACACTAGAACTACCGATCTTTAATGGGCACCTAACTATAACGTGCACAGATTGTAGTAATTTCAGAGGTACGATGAATATGAGTGAATATATTGATTGCAGTTCTTTCTTAATATGAGTTGATACCAATTTTATTACAAAAAAGGAAATTCTGGGACCAGTCATTTTGACTGGGTTGGTAGTTCTAGTGTTAAAGTGAGTCCCTCAAATCTTATCCATGTCCTTTTCAAAATAATTTTTCAATTTGTCAGCTAATAGATACGTACATAGACAAATTGAATGATAGTGACAAAAATTTTCCCATTTTGTTTGATCAAATGACGTATTGATAAAAATATTTGAATTTATTTGTACAAAGTGATTAAATAATTAAAGCGATTAAATAGTAACGATAGATGGAAGAAATAAAAGAAATCGCTATGTTTTGAAAATTGTATACTATTTAATTGTCTTTTATTTATAAACAGTCTTTTCTTCTCGTTTTATTATTGATGTTTAACCATATGAAAAAGTTCTACAATAGATTATCGTAGCATAAAAATTACTCTTCAGAAGGCCATCCAAAGGTCAACATATGTCACGTGGTGAAATTTGTTCTTTTATCGTCTACGTAATGTAGTAGTAACGAAAATACATTATTCCATTCGAAAAAGCATTGACGACCTTGGACTGTTGCAAACATGATATCGGATACATGGACAGTTAAAATGAAAAAAGATTCTCTTTTTTTAAATCATATATGCTTTTTTATAAACACAATTTTTTCCTTATTTACTGTCTAGTATGATTCGAACTAAAAGGGAAACTTTTATTGTTTTTACTGTTAAACGGCTCAATGAATTTTGAGGCTAATTAAAGATATATATTCCCTATATTAACTGCTATATTAAAAATTTTAACGAAAGTAACTAATCAAATGTAATTAATAATATATCATTTAAATATAATTAATAATAAATTATGTAATTGATTAAATTAGATATAATCAATAACAAAATGTACACTGCACAATATTTTCATTAACAATTTAAATTCGATCCATAAAATCAAATTTCAAACCTATATTTATCAAGCATTTATGACTTCTCTTTATATATTATAGTTTCATAAAAATCTAAGATCGTTTCTTTTGTGACACTCTATATATACAAGTACAATACATTTTCCTCTCACACGAATTATATTTTTAATTCCTTCACCAATTTTCTTTTCATTACTAACTTTGTGGACAATATGTCTATGTTCACTATACAATTAGAATAACAAGTATAAATCATTTTCAATGATCTATATGCCGTGAAAAAAATTAAAAATTTTCGTTCAAAGAATTTTATATAATTATATGTGAATATTCTAGTCAAATTCTTTGTCAAATTCATTTATATTTTGACAGAGAACAGTGTATATGCTGTACACAAAATTTTTGGAAGTAATAATAAGCAATGATCCTTAAGCAGATTTCTAAATAAAAATAAATCGTATATCTTTAGCACCAAGGATAAATAGTAATTCCTGTTCTTAAAGTATAAATTTATCACACAGATTGACAGGTGTTGTTAGTGATAAATTTATGAAGGCAAGTGGATGTAGCTAAAAAGTCTTCGGATTTCCATCTGACAGAATCCATTTATAAGATAATCTAGATACAGCGAGGGAAAGATATCTGCATAATGAAACGCTATTATGAAATAATCTACGAAAAGCTTCGACTACTTTATCGTCTGATTATTTAAATAAACTTGTCTGAATTATATCAACAGTTCCTGATACCAGCAAAAATTGAATCACAGAATATTCTTCTTTTTTAAACAATACACTTTTAATACACTTTTAATTTATAAAATCAGAGTTCCTGTTGCTCGTATTATATAAAAACCAGGAAAAAATATTTTCTGCAATATAATCGAATAAATTGTTAAATTACTGAAAACAATTTCCTATTATTGATATTGAATAGAGAAAGGCAAGGGAATATTTTCTGTAAAATAATTAAATAACTTTTTAATTTCCTGAAAGAAATTTCCTGTTGCATATATTGGAATAGAGAAAAACAACGGAATATTTTCTATAAAATAATGGAATAAACTGTTAATTTATGAAACTAGGTTCCCTGTTAGTTTACACAATGCCGTTTATCGTCGCGTAGTTTATATTGCAAGAAAGAAAAGTAAAATGCGTCGGTAAACGCAAGTGCTTCTAAACCCTTGATCGTTAGCGCAAATCTTGAGCTTTGATGTGGCAGTTCAAGCACGCAGCCAAGAAAATTCAGTAAACCGGTGATAACCACGAAAGTAAACCGCGATAACTATGAAACATAAAATCACACGAGACCATAAATCAAATTTGCAACGAAATGAAATATACTTAGAAAAATTTCCAATAGAAATACAGGTACCCATATCAAATCCATCTATTTCATTGCAATAAAAATAATCATTTTAATAATACAACAACGAAGTCACGTAATGAATAGACATTTAAACTTATAATACACACATAATAAAATATAACATTTATATAATTAATGACTTAAGTTAGATGAAAAATTTAGTTTTATGTAAACAAAATTGTTTCAATAATATTGTAATATAATTACAGTGTTTGAAATTTTCTATAATAAGTCGAAAATTGAGTTAAGAATAATTATAACTAGGCAGTGGAACCAGGTGAATCTAATTGGAACCAAATGATAATCATAACATCACAGAAAGAAGAATCTTAAGAATTAAAAATTAATTTTAAGACATCTAATAAAAGAATATACACAGAAACGTATGCAAAAGTAAAAGTCATAGCAAGGCATAAATAGTAAAATAATATAAGTGACTAATAAAATTAATTAATTAATATATTTTCAAGTTCTCAATGATTACATTATTTTATCGCAATTAGTTTTATAATTAATATTAATGTATTATTATATTCTATTATAATTAGTACACCCAGTATAATATACTATAGTATAATATAACAGCAGGTATACTATATAATACAATATTATACTGTTCAACAAGATCAATCAGAAAAACCAACAAAATTAATCAACACAAAAATTAAACAGCCTTGCTATAATATCTCAAAGATTTTATGTCTCAAATTCGCGCATCCGAATACGTGATTCGATTTTGCGAGGGAAAATACGAAAAGACGTAGCAAAAGGTAAGAAAAAAGAGGATGATCCCGTGGATAACTTCGGGTAAGTTTGCAACGAGTTGTTTCATAATTTAAATGCAAGATTCTTAAAGAGATTCGTTGTCGGAGTTGAACCGGAGGGAAATAATTGGAAAGAAAAACCGAGAGGAATGAATAAGTAGTTGGAGGGAAACTTTGCTGCGCGATGGAAAAATGTAAAACTTCGCGAAGGGGAAGTCGGTAATGAAGGTGAAAATTAGAAAAGGAGAAAGTTTCGAGAAATAATTACAGAACGTCCGAGTCAGCGTCGGGACTTTCCCTTCGGTGCCTAGGTATCGAAAAATATTCGAGCAGGAACATTCGAATCATTGTCCGAGATAAATACATCCTGTCGAAAAGTCTGTAAAAGTCAGTTTGTGGAGCAAATGATCCGATACATCGAGTACAATTCCCCTCTACGTGTTGTTTCAGCGCTTTCAGAG